GAGCCACATGCATCATCAGAGGTCAGGAAAACAGACCTTGTGACGACAGGCTGAAAGCTATGGGACTCCTCAGCCTGGAAAAATGCAGGCTCGGGGTGAGCTGATGGCCACCTATAAGTTTATCGGGGTGTCCACCAGAATCTGGGAGAAAGTTTGTTCACTAGAGCGCCCCAAGGGATGACAAGGTCGAATGGTGATAAACTCCTGCCAGACTGATTCAGGCTGGACATAAGGAAGAATTTCTTTACTGTCTGAGCCCCCAAGGTCTGGAATAGACTGCCATCGGAAGTGGTTCAAGCACCTACTTTGAATGCCTTCAAGAGAAATTTGGATGTTTATCTTGCTAGGATCCTATGACCCCAGCTGACTTCCTGCCCCTGGGGCAGGGGGCTGGACTCGATGATCTTCTGAGGTCCCTTCCAGCCCTAATGTCTATGAAATCTAGAGTGGCCCCTGCACTCTCTACCCACTGCAGCAGTCTGGCAGTGGGGGCTGCTGCCTGGATGTGACCTGCTGCCACCTGCTGCAGCATCCACTCTCTTGGGGACCTGTGGCCCGATGTCTGCGTGTTTGCCACACGTGGACAGGGACTACACAGCCACCTGGGCAGTGGTATGGGCCACTGCAGCAGAGCTTCCTGCACTTCTGGACCAGCTACCAGTGCACCATGGCTGCGCAGTTGGTCTTCAGGCAGCAGTGCAGTCACATCTTCTGGTGGCCCTGCTTTGCCATCTGGGCAGCTATTGCCCAGAAAGTGTGCTCTTTGCGGTGGCCTGCTTTGAACTGTGAAAGCATGTCCTCTTGGCCCCAAAAGGCAAAGATGTCAGCCACCTTGTCTGCCCTCCAGCTGCGTCCCCAGTACTGGCCCTGGGCAAGCTCCTCTGTCCGGCTCTTGCCACTTGCCTCACCAGCAGAGATCCTGCTGTTTCCTATTAAAACACTGCAAATTCTCTTGATAAGAAACCCAGATTATCTTATTAAAATACTAAAAATTTGTGGTCTTCCAGGTATCAAATTTAGAGCCCACACTGCAAATATGCGATACAGGGAACATTTTTTTTGTTCTTGTTGTGCCTATTGCGGCATCTCAAACTGTTCTGAGATGCTGGAAGAGGCACTTGCTTGCTTGTCTAGATGTGCTCCATGGGGTGGTGGGTTGCACAGACAGGAACATTAACTCCCTTACCTCCATGAGGGACAGTTTTGCGTGGAGCAATAGCCGAGTAATAGACTGCAGAGCCACCAGCCCACCACAAGCTGTCACTGTGCCGCAAGCGTTAATACTTCAAGACTCCATTGAATACCTTCAAAACAGCACTGTCCAGCTGAAGCCTCCTTATGAGCAAAAATTTGTTTTGGGCACTATATCTGTGTCTGAGTCCTCTTGCCACTGCTTACGGCTTTACAATTAAACGGCTTGTTCTTTGGTCACTTTTGGGCATACTTTTAAGTTAGTCTTGTTGAAACTGAAATTGGAGAATTGTAAAAATGGAGGTCTGGAAGGAACCTTGAGAGTGTCAGTGATAGGGTTCAAATGCACCTAACCTGTCCCTCAGGAAACGTTTGTCTAATCTAATCTGTTCTTAGTATCTGTTGCAGGCAGGGCTGTCCCTGGCGGGGGTGAATCAGGACAACTGCCCCGGGCCCTGCACTTTGGGGGGCTGCACAGGGCAGAGTGGTGCAGTGGCTCTGCATTCAGCCACTTGCTACCCCCCTGCCGGCTGCTGTTGCCAATGGCGGCAGCAGCTTCTTCAGGTCTGGGACTGGAGCAGGGGCAGGGGCAGGGTCCCGCATGGGCTGATTTGCCCTGGGTCCTGCACCCTGCTCTGGTCACCTCTGGATGCAGGAGACTCCATCACCTCCCTGGGTAGCCTGTTCTATTGCTTCCCTGCAATTGGGATGTAATGTTGTACAGACATAGTCCTGCCTTTTCTTTCTTTCTCTCTCTCTCTCTCTTCCCTTCCCCTCAAATATCTAACTTAAAACTTCCTTGCTAATTAAGCTGTTTTCTTTTTGTCCATGTCTACTGAGGGAAGGACAATAGATGTCCTCTTTGATAACCATTTTTGTGTTGTAAGATTTTGGTTTTCCCCATCATTTTACCTCCTCTGAAATAAACAAACCTGGTTCCTTCAACACTTCCACATCAGTCATAGTTTCCTAACTGCTTTTCATCGCTGCTGCTCTCTTCTGTACTGTCTCCAATTAGTCTGTGTTTTAGAGAGCAGTTTCCAAACCTGGGTCCAGTACTCCAGCTGACTCCTCACAGGGGCAGAGTAGAACAGAATAATTACTTCCCCTGTCTAAAATACAATATTTTTGTTAATGGTTTCTTTGTTTGCACCTGGACTGTATCAAGTCCTGTCACTGGTGATCCTTTATCTTTCAGTGCTGGCTACCTGGTTGTTCACTGTTGTGTTTGTGCATTTGACTTCTCTGTTCCAGGTGTAGTACTTGGCACTCTGCATTTCAACTTTATCAACATGATTTTTTGACACGTTCCCTCAGTTTATCAAGATCATTGGAATTTTGATTTTGTCTTCCAAATTGCTTGGAACCCCTCCCAGCTTACTCTCCTGAATAACTTCTAAGCACGTGTTGAGGGAGACGTGTTTTTTAGAATGTTTCTTTCACATGGGGAAGAGAAACAGGAAACTGCCTAGACATGAAGTGCTGTCAATTGTCAAAAGTTAGTGAAATTAAAAAGATAAACTTTTGATACTGTCATAAAGCTTGGACTAAGAATCTCCTCCAGAGATAGGAGCCCCGATATGCCAGGTGCTGCCCATGCACAGTAAGGGATGGTCCCTGCTCTTGGGGAGGGAGGGATGTGGGTTGAAGGAAGACCCAGGTTTTAAGAGCCTGGGTTCGGCTTCTGTCCATGAGATTGTTAAATTATGGAATACCAGAGTGAATGTCATCATGGTCAGGTACTCAGCTGATGCAAGTTTTACCAGCAGATCTTGAACTGAGGATGTTGAATGCAATCCATTTAAGGGCCCGCCATCTCTTTGAACCCTAGTTGAGCAGAAGGAGGGAGCCTCTGCTACCAGTCCCTACCAAACTAGGAAAGTCTGCAAAGCTGATTTCTTGGGGAGCTGTTCTTTTGATGGGCCAGGCACTTAATTTGCACTAGATAGTTGACATGGGAATCTGATCTCCATAATGCTGTCTTCCTCATACTCTGCCTTTTGTATCCCAGTCCCATTCTGGAAATACATTCAAGTCAGTTGCCCTCCACACCAAAACCCTCAACTACTTCTGATATTGCCCACTGGGAGAGACAGTTGTGGTGCAGTTATTGTCCAGTATAAAACAAACAGCCATTTGCCAAAGAGCTACTGAATGTTACCAGTGTCTTTGAACCGTCCAGTCTCTCAGGGTCACTTTAAGTGACATAATGTTGGTGGGTTTGTAGCCTTTGCGTT